ACTAAGCCTTGTCCACTTCTAGCGAGTGAGCTTCCAAAAGGGTAAGTTTAATCAACTCACTCAGGTCTGCTTCTCACTGTCCTGATGAAAAGAGAAGTACCGGATTTAAAGAGCAAGAGATGTTTTTATACTTACTCGTTTTTTACTTTAGCTTTTTGTCTCATCTTAGAGAGAGTACAGATTTCCAAATGCATTTCTTAAATTTGGTGAATTTACGAATTTACTTGTTTGCACTTACTTACCCACGCTTGAGTTTTACGTTCCAGTTTGCAATTGCACCTTTATAATATTAGAGATTTTTGAAGCTTTATCAGGTTAAAACAGCTGGAGTTTGTTTCTGAATATCTTTTTTGCAAGAAAAGCATTCGCGCTCAGTACTAAGTGAACTTTTAGATTTGTTCATAGTAAAAAAATTTGACAAATTTTTTTTTAGAAGAATGACTTTTTAAATGAGTAAGGGTTACCGATTTGCACATGTTGCTAACCTTTGGAGTTTTTCTCTGTTTTCCAAAACAACCTTTCTTGTTGCGACATCTGGTCTTAACTTATCAAGCAAACTAACGATTGTTTTTCGCACTGTAGGCTACTTTTGTGCTGTAAATAAGAAAAATTTTGTGGAAAATCAATTGCAATATATTTTTTGCTTTTTAGTTGATCTTTGAAAAAAAATTTTTTAATGCTCAGGTACTTCCAATTCACTGGAAATTTATTGAATACAGTTTTTTCGTAGTTTCAAAACTGTAGAAATGTAGCAGTAATACTTTTGACTTTTTTGTAAAATTCTGATTGCACAAAAGTGTTTCGCACTAGTAACAAAAAGCTCGGACTGTAAAAAAATAAAAAATAAGTCCAACTTGGAGCTTTTTTCTGTTATACAGTTTAAAAAATGTTTTCTTTATTACAAATTAGTAGAACTTGAATTCTGACTTGTAAACGTTTAATTTTGTAACTTTAAGATACTTCCTTAAAGCTTTTTACATAAAATTTAAAAGTTACTGTTCTGTAAACACTCAATAGAGTGTGCACTTCTGCAATCCTAGTTCGGTTTTTCTTAGATACTATCGTATTCAAAATTCAGAAGT